TGCGTGCGGAGTCGTAGAAGGAGGAAGAGGAGCGTGAAGAGGCGGATGATGAGACGCAGGCGACTGATAAGCGTGTGGAGGATGAACATGTGGGTGAGGATGAGGATAAGGATACCTACAGTGATACACATAGTGATGATGCTGATGATGAATACAATGCTGATGATGACGATGATGCTGACGCTGATAAGGAATGTGCTGATGCTGATGGGGACGACGGCGGTTATGCTGCTGTTGATGCTGATGATGCTGATGCTTATTATATTCATTATATCGATGATAGTGAAGATGCGGCTGGTGCTGATGATGATGATGCTGGTTCTTATGCTGATGCTGATGCTGATGATGATGATGATGATGATGATGATGATGTTGATGATCATGACGCTGGTGCTGCTGATCGTTATGATTATCGTGGTGATGACGATGAACATGACGATGCTGATTCAGCGGATTCTGATGATGAAGATGTTGCTACTGCTTCTACTGATGATGCTGTTGATGTTGATACGGTTGCTGATCATGCTGATGCTGCCGATGATAATGATGCTGCTGCTGATGATGCTGATGATGATGATGCGGATGATGATGATCATGATAAAGATGATGCTGATGCTACTGATGATGATGATGCTGATGCGGATTGTGACGATGGCTATGAGGATGCAGCTGACGATGCTGAGGTTGTTGCTAATGATGCTGACGCTGATAATAATGTTGATGATGATGCGGACGTTGAAGATGATGGTGATGATGCTGTCGGTGATGGTGCTGTTTCGGATGCTGCTGATGATGCTGCTGATGCTGAAGATGGTGACCATGATGTTGCTGATGCTGATGATGATGCTGACGATGCTAATGATGATGACGCTGATGATGATGATGATGATGATGATGATGCTGATGCTGCTGCTGATGATGATGATGATGATGATGATTGATGATGAGGCTGACTATGTTGATGCTGATGATGATCATGATGCTGTTGCTGATGATGTTGATGCTGATGCGCATGATGCTGATGCTCAGGAGGATGCTGATGATGATAATGATGATACTGATGATAATGATGATACTGATGATACTGCTGATTCTGATACTGCCCATGATGATGATGATGCTGATGATGGTTGTGATTATGAGGATGCTTCTGGTGCTGATGTGGGTGATGATGCTGTTGCTGATCACGACGAGGATGATGATGATGATGCTGATGATGATGCTGATCATGATGATGATGATGATGACTATGCTGCTCATGCTGGTGATGCTGATGATGATGCTGATGACGATGCTGATGATGATGCTGATGACGATGATGCTGATGCTGCTGATGCTGACTATGATGAGGCTGATGCTGATGACGATCTTACTGATGCTGATGATGATGACGATGATGGTGATGCTGATACTGCCGATGTTGATGTTGTTGCGGATGATGCTGATGCTGATGCTGCTGATGATGCTGAGGATTATGATGTTGATGATGATGATGCTGAGGATGATGATGTTGATGATGATGATTATGACGATGCTGATGATGTTGATGATGATGGTGATGATGATGATGATGATGATGATGATGATGATGATGTTGTTGTGGATGATGCTGTGGATGCTGCTGTTGATGATGATGCTGATGGTGATGATAGTGATGATGATGATGATGATGATGGTGCTGATGCTGCTGATGACGATCATGCTGATGATGCTGCTGCTGATGATGCTGATGCAGCTGGCGATGATGATGCTGCTGATGTTGATGCTGATGCTGATGACGTTGATGATGCTACTGATGCTGCTGCTGATGATGATGCTGCTGACGGTACTGGTGATGATGATGATGATGATGATGATGATGATGATGACGATGATGACGATGATGATGATGAGGATGATGATGATGATGCCGATGATGATGATGATGATGATGCTGATGATGATGATGATGATGATGATGATGCTGATGATGATGATGATGATGATGATGATGCTGATGATGATGATGATGCTCACGCTGATGATGATGATGCTGATTATGATTATGTTGATGACGATGATGATGGTGATGATGATGCTGATGATGATGATGCTGATGATGATGCTGATGATGATGATGATGATGATGATGCTGAATGATGATGATGATGATGATGATGATGATGATGATGATGATGATGATGATGATGATGATGATGATGATGATGATGATGATGATGATGATGGTGATGGTGATGGTGATGGTGATGGTGATGGTGATTATGACGATGATACGGAGGATGATGAGGAGGAGGACACGGATGAGGAGATGATGGTACGGAGGAGGGTGAGGGAGGAGAAGGAGGAGGAGGAGGCAGAGGGGGGGAGAGGAAGGAGAAGGAGGAGGAAGGAGAGGGGGAGGAGGAGGACAGGAGGAGACGGATTGAGGAGGGGAGGAAGGAGGAGGAGGAGGATGAGGGAGGAGGAGGAGGAGGAGGAGGAGGGAGGAGGAGGAGGAGGAGGAGGAGGTGGAGGACGTCGTCGGGAGAGGGACACGCGGGCACCTGTGGGAGCAAGCGGACGAGGAAGGGGTCGGCCGAGGGTCAGTCGCAGAAGCGTTGCACGGCAATGGTGAGAGGGAAGAGGAGGCTGAGGCGAGGTTGGGTGGAGGAGGCGGGTGAGGCGGAGGCCGAGGAGGATGAGGAGGAGGAGGATGTCTGGAGAGGGGGGATTGTGAGAGCGAGTATGATGTGCAGGGAGAGGATTAGGATGCGCAGGAAGAGGAGGAGGGGGGGGCATGTGAGACGGAACAGCAACACGACGTTGACGAGGGCAAGGAGGACCTTCAGGATGATGATGATGCTGCTGCTGATGATGATGCTGACGAGGATGATAAGGATGATAAGGAGGAGGAGGCGGAATAGGAATGCACTATCGACGAGAAAGAACACACATACTTATCACAACACTGTTCATACTACTATTAGTCATAATCACACTAAGTAGATGATGATATGATGATGCTGATGATGGTGGTGATGATGCTGATGGTGCTGATGATGCTGATGTTGTTGATGATGATGCCGGTGACGACGATGCTGCTGATGATGATGTTGATGATGACACCGATGCGACTGATGCTACTGATGCTGATGCTGATGCTGGCGACGCCGATGAAGATACTGATGCTGCTGATGATGATGATGCTGATGGTGACGATGATGCTGCTGATGATGATACTGATGATGCAAATGCTGCTTCTGATGATGCTGATTATGATGATCCTGCTGATCCTGATGATGATGATGATGATGATGGTGATGCTGATGATGGTGATGATGATTATTCATATGATGGCGATGATGGTGATGATGATGATTTTGATGATGCTGCTGCTGATAATGATAATGGTGATGATGATGAATGATGATGCTGATGATTATGATGATGATGACGATGACGATGATGAGGATGATGACGATGATGCTGATGCTGCTGATGCTGATGCTGATGCTGATGATGCCGATGATGATGAATATGGCAATGACGATGCCGATTATGCTGATGGTGCTGATGCTGCTGCTGATGATGATACTGATGATTATGATGATGCTTATGCTGATGCTGATGCTGATCATAATGGCGATTCTGCTAGTGCTGATGCTGATGCTTATGATAAGGATGATGATTATAGTGGTGATGGTGATGCTGATTATGATTCTGATTCTGATGCTGTTTATCATCATGTTTATGATAATGATGATGACTATGAGGAGGAAGAGGAATAAGAGGAGGAGGAGGAGGAGGAGTCGGATGTGGAGGATTATGAGGATGGTGAAGACGAGAAGGAAAAGGGGGAGGAGGAGGAGGAGGAGGAGGAGGAGAGGAGCAGGAATCTCCTACGTGAGTTCGAGTTTGGGGGAGTCTGGGCATGACCTCCCTCTTGAGCTTCCCTGCTGGGCTTCCTGGGAGCCTTGGGACCCTTTCGACGTGGGCTGGGGGTCCGGTGCGATTTCCCGCATTAAGTGAGGTTAGTGGTGGCTCCTGTCCCATCTGTGTGCGCCGCATTGTTTTTTCCGTCAGGCCAACCAGCCGACCGACCGACCGACCGCGGAAGAGGAGGAGGAGGAGGAAGTGGACCAGTGTAAGCCCAAGACGCGCCAACAATATCGCAATAGACCCTCCCTCCAAGTCCCAATGTCATAGGTCCATACACTCCGCGATTGCGGCCGGTATCTTCTGCATCGTTGCACTTGGCTATGGCCGCAGCGGGTAACGACCTGCCTGGCCGCCTCCACCAACGCACGCGCAAAAGGGATAGTTGTCCACTCGCCTTCCTGTGCAACTGCTCGCGGCTGATGGCAAGCAAAGCCGCCGGAGCGCGAGTCACGGGTCCCCACTTCGCCGAAAGAGCCGTCCCTGCGAGATGGGCGCGTGCTGCGCAACCACAGGTCCACGCGACGACGACGTCCATCAATCATCGACGACGATCAACGTCGAATCACGACGATCGGTGACGCTGACGACGAATATCAGCGACGGTCTTTGCGACGCCGACGGTGTCGCAGTGGCCAGTGCACCCCTGCTGCCGCCGACGACGAATGGTGACGAGGACGACGACGACCAGCGATGATGCGGCGATGGGTGGTCGATGACGACGGCGATCAACAACGATCGACGATCGGCGACCAACTCCGCCGATCTGTTTTTTCAATCCGCGGCCTCAAGAGGTCCCGACCGCTTCCACGGGGATCAGGTGTCGTCCCCGATCCTTTTTTGGTGGCCTCGAATTGACGAAACGCGCCCAGATTGAAATCAAAATCGCGCCGTCGGAGATCTGGGAGCGTCGATCGGCGATCGACCATCGGCGTGGATCGGCGATCGACGTCCATCGGCAGTGAGCGACGGTCGGCGGCGTTGGCCTGCCGCAGAGGCGTGGGGCTGGCGACCCGCTGGGCTTCCGCGCGCACGCTGGGTAGCCGCCGGCGGGGGGCGGCCGGTGGCGGCCGCCGCGGCGCTGGATGGTACGCGCAGGGGCAACACTGCGGCAGCACGCGCCGCACGAAACGTCCAGGGATCGGCCGCATACAGTCGGTGCCCTGAAGAAGGAACCCTTTTCGTTGTGGACGGGCTCCGTGTTCCTTAATTGTTTCACAGCTTGCCTCAAGTTTTCCTTATGTTTTCGAAGGGAAATCGAAGTTCAACTTATGGTAAAAAGGGGCCTCGTTCCTTATTCAGGGTTCCTTTAGGTCAGCGCCCCGACTGTACCCCGGATCAAGGACGACATGCCTGGAGGCACGACGTTTTCTGGCGTTCTCGTCCGCTCGTGTCGGCTTCCCACCCTCGCGGTGGCCTCCGGCGGCCGCGCCTCGCCGAGACTGTTCGAGGGTCCCCGGGTCGTCCCTCCCGAACGGGCGTCAGAGAGCCAGTCTGCGGCTCGAGCAGCAAGGGGCAGCGCAATGGGGGCGTGGGGGTCGGGGGGGGGGTATGCGTTGACCCCCAATCGGCCATTCGTCGCCGGTAGGGGTCAGACAGCCCACCCCGCCCAGGAACCTGCAGTTTCGCCCTCGGGGGCCCATCGCCGATGTGTCGGGGACGTATCTCCGATTCAAGGTCGATGTTCCCCCCATGAGTCAGGAGGGGAAAAAACGCACAGACACAATCAATCGTCGATCCCCAAGAAGACATAGGAAACTATGGGAATTGGGCGGGAAGACAGGAACCCGGAAAATATGAGGAAAATATGGGGAATCATTTTATTTGTGTGTATTTATTTGTGTGTCCAGGGGCCCCTTCAATAGTTCCCTTCGTGCGCGCGAGGGCGACTGCCGCGGACGGCCTCGCCCTGCTGCCGCCCGTCGTGTTCGGAGGAGGAAGAGGTGCCGATGACGCTACGCTTCCCTCGTTTTTTCGCCCCGCCGGGCCTCTTGAAAGGCCCTGGATTCGCCTTGGATTGGAGGCCTGAAAATGGGCGCCAACACCAAGACAAGGGGGCTGCCTCCACAGGGGGGAGATGATCCTAGATTTCGATGTTGGTGGTAATATTTCGGCCACCTTGGAAGCCAAAATATTACCAACATCACCGAGATCGGGATCTGTCTTCCCTCGGTGGAGGAACAGCGCCGATATTGGTGTTGGTGTCAATCTCTAGGCCTGCGATTGGAGTTCCCGTCTGGTTATAACGCACTTGGGAGAGGTCATGGGAGTATCGGTGTCGTTCTTACCCTGTCACCCCGGAGGAGGAGGGCGAGCTGAGGCAACGGTTCAGCGGCACTTGGCCTCCGTGGGGCCCCCTGGTCGCCGCGGCCGGACGAGGGCCGGATAGCTGGTTCGTTGGGATCCCCAGAGGGTTCCAGGGATCGATTTGGAGCTGCTTTTGTCTCGAATCTCCCTTCTCCGACCGCCGCCGCCGCCTCCGTCGTAGCCGTCCGCCTTCGCAGCGGCGGCCGCCGTCGTCGCCGCCATCGTCGCAGGCCGCTTTCGCAACCGCGGCCGCCACCTCTGTCGCTGCCGCCAGCGGCACCGCTCGCCTTCGCAACCACGGCCGCCGCCTCCATCGTCGTCGCCGGCCGCCTTCGCAAACGCGGCCGCCACTTCCGCCGCAGCCGCCGCCGCTATTGTCGTAGGCCCAGACGGAGGCGAGGCGTCGGCCTCGGTTGCGAAGTCAGCCTGCGACGATGGCGGCGACGACGGAGGCGACGGCCGCAGTTGCGATGGCCGCCGCCACCATCGCCGGCCACCTTTGCAACCGCGGCCTGTCGCCGCCGTCGCCCGTCGCCCGTCGCCGCCGTCGAACGATCGGTGGTCGGTGTGGCACGGCGGCCCCGCGGCGCTAGGGGACGCCCGCAACCGCTGCCGTGCCGCCGCCGCCGCCGCCGCCGCCGCCGTCGTCGTCGTCGTCGTCGTCGTCGTCGTCGTCGTCGTCGTCGTCGTCGTCGTCGTCGTCGTCGTCGTCGTCGTCTTCGTTGCCCGATCTCCCATCGCCAATCGACGACGGCGGCGACAAACGCGACGGCGACGGTGGCGTCAGCAAGTGTGGTGGCGGCCATAATGACGTTAGCACGGCTGCCGCAGCTGCAGAGGGGGGCATAGAGGAGAAGGAGGAAGAAGAGGAGTATGAGGAAGAGGAGGAGGAAGAGGAGAAGGAAGAGGAGGAGGGAGGAGGAGAGGAGGAGGAGGAAGAGGAGAAGGAGGAGAAGGAGAATGAGGAGGAGAAGAGAAAGAGGAGGAGGAGGAGGATCATGGAGGGGGAGAAGGAGAAGGAGGAGGAGGAGGAGGGGGAGGAGGAGGAGAAGGATGGATGGATGGATGGATGGGGATGCAGATGCTGGAGATGACGATGCTGAGGAGGACGAGGGAGAGTAAACGCGAGAAACATTGGAGCAGGAGAAGCAGTGGTGGGAACGGCAGTGGGGTGAGGAGCTGGAGGTGGGCCTGCCCTTCTCCGCCCCCCCCCCTGGGCTGCTCGTCCAACCAACCCTCCTCCGTCTTTCTCCTCCTCGCCTTTCCCGGTCTCCCCGCTTCTCCTGCTCCTCTTCCCCTCCCTTCGCCCCCTTGGTCGCTCCCGCCCTCTTCCCCCCCCTCTTCGCCTCGATCTCGTCGCCTCAACCTCGTCGCCCTCGTCGCCCTCGTCGCCGTCGTCGCCGTCGTCGCCCTCGTCGCCGTCGTCGTCGTCGTCGTCGTCGTCGTCGTCGTCGTCGATGGGCCTCGGCGGGGCAGCGCGGACCGCTCGAAGGTGTTGGGCGATCTGGGCAGCAAGCTCTCCGCCACGCTCCAGAAGCTCAGCCGCACCACCGTCCTCAGTGACGAGGTTTTTTTGGGTGGCCACGGAGCGGAGAAGGCAGGAGGAGAGATCAGGAGCAGGAGCACGGTGAGCACGAAGATATGACGAGTATGATTGTCAAATGAGGCTCGGTTCCGAGAGGATGATGAGGAGGAGGATCAGGCAGAGCTGGAGGAGGTGGGTGTGCGGAGCAAGAGAAGGTCAGCAGGACGAGGAAGAAGACGAGGTCGAGCAAGAGGCGGAGGAGGAGGAGAAGAATAATGATGAGGACGTGATCAGAAGGGGGGACAGGTGAAGCCAGAGAGCGAGGATCAGGTGTAGGAGGGGATGATGCGCAGCAAGACGAGGAGGGGAAGAGGAAGAGCGGTGGAGGAGGAGGAGCAGGAAGAGGAGGAGGAGGAGAAGGAGGATAATGAGGAGGAGGATGATCAGAAGGGACAGGAGGTGAATGAGGACGATAATGAGGAGGAGGAGGAGGAGGAGGAGGAGGAGGAGGAGGAGGAGGAGGAGGGGGAGACGAGGACGGGATGGATGATGACGACGTGGATGCTGGCGACGGTGAGGATGATGATGACGACAAAGAGCGGCGGTGTGCGGCCACCAGGTCTACGGCTGCTTCGCTGGGCTGACCTTCCCGACCCGCCCGTTAGGGTCCGCCCGCCCGATCTGCCCGTCTGGTTCTGCCACGCGTTTTCTTGTCCTAGCCCCCCCCCCTGCTGCGCTCTCTCTTGTGCTCCATCCTCCTTCCTCTCCCTTGTCCCTTCCTTCCGTCCGTCCTCTCTTCCTCTCCCTTGGGGGCTGCACGAACTACACATTGCAGGTAAGAACGATATACCCCCAAGGGGGTACGATCGAAGACGAAGAGGGTGGTTATCGAGGGTTTGGGATATATATATATATATACATATATATATAAATATAGAGATATATGTGCTGCATGGCACGCGAACAGATAAGAGCGAACAGTCTTAAGATGGTAGTTGTTGTGGTTGTGGCTGTGGTTGTTATCATTGTTGTTGCTTTGTTGTTGTTGTGGTGTTGGTGATTGTGATGGTGGTGGTGGTGGTTGTGTTTTTTCGTTGTTGTTTTTTGTTGTTGTTGATGTTGTTGTTGTTATTGTTTTTTTATTGTTGTTGTTGTTGTTGCTGTGGTTGTTGGTTGTTGGTTGGTTGGTTGGTTGGTTGGTTGGCGGGTGGTTGGTGGGGTGGGTGGGCGGGTTGGTTGGTTGGTTGGTTGGTTGGTTGAGTTCCCAGTGTTGAAAGATAATGATTGTTGATCACCCCTCCGGTAACATATGTGTTTTTCAATTGAAATGCCCTCCCGGGGCTCGCACCCTGTTTTTATTTAACAAGGAGAATTTTCCTGCTCAAACTGCGCCCGTGGCTCCCGGACTACAACAATAACGGCTCCCGCCTGATACGTCTTCGCAATTTAGTGAGGAATCGCGCTTACGCTAGAGACTTCCTTGCAGTTTATCTAAGAATGGCGCTCTCTCCTGTATCTTCCTCGCAATAGATTCAGGCGCCACGCCTTCACCATTCAGTAATCGCGCTCTCGCCTGGGACTTCCTTTTAATTACCTCAGGAATCGCGCGCGAAACTTCCTGGCGAACTATGCAGGACTCACGCATTTGCGTAACATAGGTTTTCGACGGAAGTGCCCCTCCAGGTGCTCGCTGTGTTTTTACAGGGGGAAGTCCTCCTCCTCAAATTGTGCCCCTGGCCCCCGGTTTACAACAACAGCGGCTCACGTCTGATATTTCTTTGCAATTTATTGAATCGCGCTCTCGCTATGGGCTTCCTTGCAACTTATCGAAGAATCGCCCACTCGTCTGATACTCCTTCGCAATTTATTGAGGCGTCGCGCTTTCGACACTCAGGAATCGCGTTGTCGCTTGGGATTTCTTGGTAATTGATTCAAGCGCCGTGCCCTCGACACTCAGGAATCACGCTCTCGCTTTGGATTTCCCCACGAGATTGATTTTGGATTTGCGCTTTCGCTCAAGGCTTCTTCGCGATTCATGCAGGACGCACGCTTCAGCGACCCGTTTGCTCGACATGGCCGCCTGAACCCGCCTTGTCGTTCTGTTCCCAACCCCCTTCCTGTCACTCTCTCTCGTGCTCCATCCTCCTCCCTCCTCCTTGTCCCTTCCTTCCATCCGTCTTTTCTTCCCCTGCCTTATGGGCTGCACGAAGTACACGTTGCACGTCAGAAAGATATACCCCTTAGGTGGTACGGTCGGAGACGAGGAGGGCGGGTATCGAGGGTTTGAGATATATGAGTTGGATATCATGCGAGCAGATAAGAGCGAACAGTCTTAAGCTGATGGTTGTTGTTGTTGGTGTTGTAGGTGGTGGTGGTGGTGTCGTCGTCGTCTTCGTCGTCGTCGTGGTCCCGTCGTTGCTGTTGTTGTTGTTGTTGTTGTTGTTGTTGTTGTTGTTGGTGTTGTTGGTGTTGTTGTTGTTGTTGTTGTTGTTGTTGTTGTTGTTGTTGTTGTTGTTGTTGTTGTTGTTGTTGTTGGTGGTGGTGGTGGTGGTGGTGGTGGTGTTGTTGGTGTTATTGCTGCTGAACTTTCACTACTGAAGAATAGTTATTGTTGATTCACCCCCTCCGGTGACCAATGTGTTTTTTCAATTGAAGTGCTTCCCCTGGGGCTCACACCCTGTTTTTTTCATCAGGGAAGGTCACAAGGGTCAGCGCCCCTGGCCCCAGGGTTACAGCAACAACGGCTCCCGCTGGAGACTTCCCCACAATTGAGCCAGGACCCCGCTCCCGCCCGAGACTTCCTGGCATTTTACTTATGAGTCGCGCTCTCGCTTGGGATTTCCTTGCACTTTGTTTTGGAGTTCCCCTCCCGGCGCCCTGGAGTCGCGGCCCCACCCCTCCCCTCCAGATTCCTCCGTGTGTCTCACCACTCCCCCGCACTCCGCCCCATTCCTCTTCCTACTCCTTCCCGCTCCTCCCTAGACTTTATTCTTCTCCTTTCATTTCCCTTCCACTTCTCACTCCTGCGCTCTTCCCCATTCGGTTGTACTTCTCACCATTTCCCCCACCCCCCTCTCAAAAGGTTCCGTTCGCCCGTTTCTCGCACCAGGTGGCAGGTATAAGTTTTTCTTGCGGGGTACCCAGGGAATGTTTCTCAAGGGGGTGGTACATCGCAAAACGTTGGCGCAACCCATGACAATATCTATGCCAACCCATGTTCCCAAATCGGGCGCAACACATGTCGCAAGCTGAATCGGATGTTCTGGCGCAACTAATCATCCTAATCCCTCCCTCTTGTCCGTATCTTCATATCTCCCTTTTCCCTGTCCCTTCGTTATCGCTCTTTCCCTTTCTCCTTTCTCCCTCGTCTTTCTGTTTGAGGGGCTGCGCCAATGATACATGTCAGGCAAAGAAGATATACCCCTAAAGGAGTAGGGCCGAAGATGAAGAGGGTGGGTAGCGAGGGTTTGGGATATGCATGTTGAGAGACGCGCCAATGTAAGAGCGAACAGTCTTAGAATGATTGTAGTTGTTGCTTTTGTTGTTGTTGAACTCTCATATCTGAAGAACAATTATTGTTGATCCCCCCCGTCCGGTTCACATTGTTTTTTTCCCGATTGAAGTGCCCTTCCTGGGGCTCGCACCTTGTTTTTTTATTAGGGAAAGTATTGAGGGTCAAACTGTGTCGTTGGTCCCTGGGTTACAGCAACAACGGCTCCCGCCTGAGACTTCCTCACAATTTAGCCAGGACCCCCCCTCCCGCCCGAGACTTCCTTGCATTTTATTCAGGAATCGCGCTCTCGCTGGGGACTTCTTTACAATTTATTCGGGAATCGGTCTCCCGGCGCTCTGGAGTCGCGCTCTCGCTGGAGATTTGCTTGCAATTTACTGACGAATAGCGTCCTTGCGTTGGAATTTCTTGCAATTTACTCAAGCGCCGCGCTCCCGACACCCAGGCACCCAGGAGTCGCGCTCACGTTTAGGACTGTCTCACATATTACCTAAGAATCGGGATCTCGCTGCCCTTCGTGGCCCCGTTGCAGCCCTTCGTGGCCCCCTCGCTTTGTTTCGTGGCCCCGTTGCAGCCCCTCGTGCCCCCCTCGCTGCCCTTCGTGGCCCCATTGCAGCCCTTCGTGGCCCCCTCGCTTTGTTTCGTGGCCCCCTCGCTGCCCTTCGCGGCCCCGTCGCAGCCTTTCGTGGCCCCGTTGCAGCCCTTCGTGGCCCCCTCGCTGCCCTTTGTGGCCCCCTCGCTGCTTCTCGTTGCCCCATATATGTATGCCCTTCGTGGCCCCCGCTCGTTCGCGCCCGTGGTGGCCCCATATGCATGCCCTTCGTGGCACCGCTGTCGCCCTTCATGGCCCCCTCGCTGCCCTTCGTGGCCCCGTTGCTGCCCTCAGTGGCCCCGTCCTTGCCCTCCGCGGCCCAGTATACGTCTGCCCTTCGTGGCCCCCGTTCGTTCGCGCCCGTTGTGGTCCCATGTGCATGCCCTTCGTGTCCCCGCTCTCGCCGTTTGTGACCCCCTCACTGTCCCACCCGGCCCAGTTGCTACCTTCAGTGGCCCCGTCGTTGCCTTCTGTGGCCCCGCATGATCTGCCCTTCGTGGCCCCCGATCGTTCGCGCCCGTCGTGGCCCCATGCGCATGCCCTTCGTGGCCCCGTTGTCTCCCTTCGTGGCCCCCTTCCTGCCCTTCGTGGCCCCGCTGTCGCCCCGTTGCTGCCCTCAGTGGCCCCGTCCTTGCCCTCCGCGGCCCAGTATACGTATGCCCTTCGTGGCCCCCGCTCGTTCGCGCTCTTCGTGGCCCCATACGCATTCCCTTCGTGTCCCCGCTGTCGGCCTTCGTGGCCTTCTTCGTGTCCTTGTGGCCCTGCTGTCGTTCTCTCTCGCTCTCGCTTTCGCTCGTCGTCGTCGTCGTCGCCGTCGTCGTCGTCGTCGCCGCCGTCGCTGTCGACGTCGTCGTCGTCGTCGTCGTCGTCGTCGTCGTCGTCGTCGTGGTCGGTCCCCTGTCCGTCCCTCTTGGGGTCGGGTAGACGGTCCGCAGCCGT